GCAGTTTCTGTCTTATTGTAATACTCAAATTTTGTAAGCAATCGTCAGATTAAGTTTAAAATTTTCAAAAATTTCAATATACTTTTTTCAATAACGTATGAAATTGATTCGCGTATTACTTGAATATTTGTTAGCATCTATTGGAGGTTAAAAATCGGGAAATTGATACCGATAGGTCAACGAACGCTTTCTCATTTAATTCAAATCGCACGTATGTCCGTTTCTCCATCTGTCCAGCTCCCTGTCCCTCTATGCTCTACGGGTCCCAATTTTTTAAATACTTTGTTGAGATATGTGACACTGACGTACGTTGGCCCAGCGACGAACCCTACTGAAAATGATATAGACAAGTCCATATTTTCGATCACTCGCCTTATTGCGCCCTATTCTGAGAAGTCGCTATGTGGGGAAAAATTGCAATTTTCAAAACTTCTCGGCAAAAGTGGCTAAGTAGCAGTATTTCGGTGTTGGTATGACAACTTTGGACCGGCTGGATACGCTCTCATATAAGCGTTCTTACAGAAGTGAAAGCTTTATATGATGAACTGGTCGAATTTCCAATATTTCGTGGTGAGAATTAGCCCATAATAATAAATTGACAAAGAGATTTATTTTTCTGGATAACAGCGCATACAAGGATTCTCATGAAACATAAACCCTTATATGCCAAAAAAGATTAATTATTAATGTTTTTGTGATCAGAATGTCTATGAGAGCAATTAAATAAAAAAATTAACTGCATCGAATTACAATCACAAGGATCTATTTCTTGGTCCCACTCCATATAAGATTTTCCATGAGCGGTAAGTCCTTCGAAAAAAGGGTTAATTTTTAATATTTTATGATGAAAATTAATTCATAGAAGCATTTTAGCAAATAATTAGATCACATAGGTGAACTTTTTTAACATATATGTATATATATATATTTATTATATGGAGAGAAAATCTAACCTTCCAATAGGGGGACTTTCATGGCATAAACAATGTGGATCGTCATGAAATAATGTGTACTTTCTGGAGCATCATTACCAAAACGAGCGTATAACCATATTAGCCAAAGTGATGTAGGGTATGTAATAGTCGGCGTTGGCCAACGATAATGTTCTAAATGTGTTCTTACTTCGTTAACTTAATTTTTTCTTTTAACTCCATGATTACTATGAAATCATGATATTATTCTTTTTGAGCGTTGGTAGAAAGGTCTTTGGTATCTATTTCGAGTGTCATGTCAACATCTTCAATTGCGGTAGAGTTGCATGTGTTATTGGCAAGGGACAGTAAAGAGTTTTACGATTTTGCGAGTAAATTAATTGCGGAGAACAATCAACATCCGCTGAAGAAAGCTACGTTAAAGATATAAAAGAAGTAGCGCTTGAAATTTATCAACAGACAATTAGAGACTATCTTAATACCATGGATCAACCCCAACTATTTAATAACGTATTTTATACTTTAAACGCAATCAATTTCGAATATTTCCTAAACCATTTAAATTTTTGCAGCGAAAAACTTCTTGGTTTGTGGTACAATACCATGCGATATCCGACTCCTCAGAGAACTCAAAAGGCCATGAAAGAAATATCATTTCGTCTCGGCTGAAGATATAAAAGTCATAGAGACGCAAATATTTTGGACAATCGCGGAAAAAGTCCTTTCTGATTGAACGTCGGCATAAGTCCACTGCATTGGACGGAGCGTGCTTTCAAGGCGATGAAAGTGTGATATGAAAGAAGAGTGATACGTAAAGATTTTAGATTAATTTTATTTTTTGATCCCAGTTGTGTGTGGCCCCTTTTTATAAGATTTGCTGCAAAAAGGAGTAAAAATTTGGAATGCTTCATAATATATATAAGCTATACTTTCTTCCCAGAAACTCATCAAAACAAAGAATCACTAAAAGCAAGCGCTGCTCGTTATATAATTTGTTTAAACAAAATGTGTCTCAACATCGATACAGTGTGTAATACTCACTCATCAATAATATACTGTACACTGATACGCTGGATGTGCTACTACTCTTACTCGTCTTGTGAGGAATCATCGCCATCTTTGCCTCAAAAAACAGCACTAAATTCAAGAGGAAATTATCTTGCTTTCTAATGTTGGATAGTTGTTGTTGATTTCTCCCATTTTGGCAGAGCGAACGGACGAACATGCTTAGGCGGGTTCTAAATTTGATACTGATCAGAAACATAGTTATTTTATATGACCTCTGAAGTTTCTTTCTGCGGATTGTCGTCAAGATGAAAATATCCCGATTGACATTAAAAAAATAAAACTTTTAAATATTATTGTGAGTAACTCTGATCAGTTAAATGATAAATCTACAATTAAGCAAAAAACTTCTTATTTTTAGATTAATGAAAACATTTTCGATCTCAGCATTAGGGCGAAATGATTGTCAGATAGTTGAGTTAGCCGATACAATGGAAGTAAAAAGTGTTGAATTTAGTTAAGGCACACACTCGAGAGCTAATGACCGATAAAGAATTAAATGAGAACAGTTTAGTCAACATGTCTAACGGGGCAAACAATTGTGACAATGATCTTAATTGTAATGAGGGTGAATCAGTTACTTATATTCGCAACAGCAACGATGCATTGAACGTATAAATTGGAAAGAAAACCGAGTAATCGAATTTCGTTATATGAATCGAATGAAGAACGAATCCTTCAATCTTAGTGATATATTACAGAATTCTCGATTTAATATGATGACGTTCATAAAGACTTAACAATTGTTAACTGTCGACTCCGTAACATTTAGAAATTGTCTTCTATCTATCAGCTAGTAAGTCAAAGTCAAGCAATGGAAATAAATTAATTCCGCTCAGGAAGATTGATAGTCCGTAAAGGCGATGAAGATAATTGAGTATAGGTTTAAATATTTCGCCTTTTGTTGCTGAAAATGGATTAATTCCATGTGTAGGTTTGGTAAGGCGCCTTAATTTAAAATAAATATTGAAATTACGCACATTTTTCGCTTCACATATTAGTACCCCTATCCTTGCTTTATAGGATGTTCGTAGAAATATATCATTACTCCATTAAAAAAAAAAAAGCAGCAGGCAACAATGTATGCATAAACTTGAAGAACGCAACCTCTCAATTCCACTAATCTATATCGGTCCTTTCTTCCAAGCATCTATCTGTCAGGCCTCGTCATTTGCTTTGAATTGCTTGGCAGACTATTATCGCTGCGTGTGCAATGGTAAAAATCAGGCTAACAGGTTAACCTGCGACACGTATATTTTACCTAAAATTCTCAGATCTTATATGAAAACCGCTGGGGAAAAAATATAAATAAAATTTTTCATTTTCCTTAATAATATTCGCAATTGGGGAAAAGATTACTTACTCTCTCTCTTTCTCTCTCTCTCCCTCTCTCTCTCTCTCTCTCTCTCTCTCTCTATCTCTATGATATTGGCAAGAAAACATTTACCAAACTTTTCTAATTATTTGGTGAACGAAGATGGGTTCAAAGCATTTTACTAAGGCGCTTACAGTCACGTACGAATAAAGCATTTTGAGATACTTACCATACGTGGTAGATGCTTTACATTCGCGTTACGATGAATATAGCCTTTCCGTCCGTCCTTTATACCTTTCTTACCACAAATACAATCGTTACATTATTAAAATAAAGGAGAAGAAAACTACGAGATAAATACTCTTTTGTGTGGTGAAATAAATTTCAATTGAATCAATGCGCACGCGCCGTTATACGAACGCATATTAAATATATATATATATATAAAAAAAAAAAAAAAAAAAAAAAAAAAAAAACAGTAAAACAAGGAAAACGATGCTAGCACCAGCGAAGTTAAACTTACGATATCGAATTGCAGGATAACAAGTGTTTAGTTATTAAACTGTTGGTCTAACGAGAGGACATATAAACGGCGTTTTCTATGATGCGAGTCAAAGAAAGCAAGAAAAACAGAAAATCTCTTTTTTGAAAAATATAACCGGTAGAGAGATCAACAAATCATTTAACTCATCAAATTATTAAAAGACAATAAGATATAATCGAAGTTAATTGAAGAGTAACTAAGAAGCGAAACAAAAAAATAAATAAATAAATAAATAAATAAATAAAAAAAAAAAAGGAATGGAAAAGCTTAAGTTATTTATATATAAAGTTAACTACGATATGGTGTTCACGCTTAATTAAAAAGCGCGCCATATTTATCTCATATAATATCGAACATATAATAATAATTTAAATGCGATTTAAACACTATATGTGCATCGATATGCTGATGTTTGTGAGAGTGTTTTTTTCTATTATTCTTTTTTTTTTTTTTTGTTTTTTTTAATTTTTTTGTTTTTTGCTCTTTAAATGCATAAGCGATGTTAGGTTTTTGTTAGATTGTGTTTTAGTTGCAACTTTCAATTATACATATATTATTGTAGTGTTTATGTGTGAGCTAAAGTAAATAAGATTTCATTAATGTTTCACTTTGTTGCGGAATTTTCAAACGTGACATTTATTTATCTGTGCATTCGTATATTTGTTTGTTTGTTTGTTTGTTTATTTGTTTGTTTATTTGTTTGTTTGTTTGTTTATTTGTTTGCTTATATAAAAGTGCGGGCTGTTGTTAAATCAGCAAAACGGAAACCGGATATGCATACAAATTACAAAATGTGTTAAAAGAAACACTCAAACTTACAGAGCACGCATAAGCCACACATTTGTCTATAAAGTGTGTTTGTTATTCATGTTATGTGCGTATATGTTCGTTTGTTAGTGTTTCAAGAACACGGTTTACGGTTTTAAAACGTGGTTACATTTGTTGACGAAACAACTAACCGTAAAGGTGTTTATACGTGTTATAGTGTTAAAATTTTTAACGCAAAACCCATATGCACATGCAGTAAAAGAAAACAGTAGAGCGAAAAGGTGAAATTGATAGATAGAGATGGAAAAGGATAGACAGAGGTAGAGGCATTCAGTAATTGACAAAGAAAAAAAATAAAAAAAAAAAAATAAAAAATAATAATGTAACAGTACCTACGATCTAGGTATAGCATAGTGTATAGTGTTGTTTGCGTTAACACTTGTTATGTTAAGGGCAATGCTACAATCTTTATGCACCGGCTCATGCTTTATATGGAAATTCTTGTGTTCAGTAAATAAAAAAAAAAAATAAATAAATAAATAAAAAGAGAAAAACTGCAGTTTTCACGGTTGAGGTATGTTAAACGTAAAAACATGGGAATACTTTTTCATTCATTTTTTTTCTTTGTAAAGGCAATTAAAGAAAAAAAGCCAATTTATTTGGGTTTTAATTTCTGCTGGTACCTGTAAGTTACGACAATCATACGCGTACATACTCTCACTTGTATAAATATTACATTCACGATTGTTAACATATGCTGGTGTTGTTGCTGTTGCTGTTATTATTATTATTATTATTGTTGTTGTTACTGTTGTTGTTGTTGTTGTTGTCGTTGTTTCAAAGCAGTTGCTTTCATTTTATATTTTGTATTTCTTTTTAAGTTCCTTTTCCGTTTGTTTACTTATAATGCTTTCCACTTTGCTGAAAATTGAGTTTGACTATATATGTTTGTATATATATATGTATATATGTTTTCCATATCGTTGGAATAAGTCAATTATGTAATGATTTCCTACAGTTATGCTAGCAGTGTTTATAAATTTTACATATAAGCATAGAACTAATGCCCATATGTATATAAGCTTTTAATTAAAACAATATAAACGCTTTGTTAGTATATTAACTTCATGGTACTATTGCTGTTGTTCTTGTTATTATTGCAGTTGTTAGTTATTTTTTGTTAAGAGTTTCAAGTTAATGAGTTTTGTTATTGTTTAAAGTTCATGTTGATGTCTGGTTCTAAACAAACAATGTGAATGCAAAATGCATGCACACACACACACACACACACACACACACATTATTTGCCTAAATATTTCTCTTTATTCATTCTGCCATTTAATTCGTAGGCCAATTTATTTTAATGTGGCGTTTGTTAGCTTGAAGTTGATTACTTTACAGTGCTATGTGTTTCACAATTCACACACACATATATATAGACATATACGCCTCTATGTTCTTCCCCTTTTGTTCAATAATTGTTTCGATTATCATGAATATTAATCACTTGAAGGTTAAATGCATTTTAAATCACGTAATAAGGTGCTAATAAACTCATTTTAAATTATATCACTCATACGCCGGGTATACTGATGTTAGAATTTGTTTAAGAAAAATATCAGAAGCGTGCGAATAGAAAACCATTTGAAAGGAAACGGATTTAACAATACCTGCTGTGACATCGATGCTCGATAAAAACTATGTCCTATTTCTTCTTTCTTTTTTACGGATTTTCTTTTTTTTTTCAAAATCCATTGCAAAATACCGCGAAATTTAATAGTGAAAATGACAGGTCATTATTTTCCGATGAGAGATTCCAACACAAAAAAAAATACTTTGTCGCATGAATGTATCGTTAATAAAACTGGTCAAATGAGTTTGGTATTGTTGTTTTTCTTTTTGCCGAGTGCTTTGCAGACCATCTGTCCCATTGGATTGGACAAATTCTACTTAGGGTAAATTAAATAGAAAAGAAATAACTTTTGGAAAAGTTTCGCGTAAAGAATTTCATCTGAACTCATTTACGCAAATAATAAATGAATTCGAGGACTTCTTCCGAAAAATCGTATATGATGTAGGCCTGTAGGTGTCCATAAGTAATTATTGCCGGCTTATTAAAGTTAGCAATGCAATTTCTCTCGATAAATAATCCCGTATACATAATAAAATGCTCTTGTTCGTAGTTTACGTTTATTTGGCTACAAATCAAAAATTCTATAAATTTAATTGTATTTCTTTCTTTGCATTTCCTTGTCTGTGTTTATTTTATATAAATAAATACATTTGTTTCATTTGCCATAAATTTAAGACTTGAATTTTTATATACTTACCCCTTACTATTCTGGCACTGCTGTTATTGGATTTTATCACACCTACAATAACAAATATGTGCAATGCGATGTTAATATATATCAAAGGAATTTATTACGGTCTATGTTGCATATTATAAAGTATTAAACAAAACGAGGTCCCTTCTGACTAAAAAAAAATAAAAAAAAATAAAAAAAAAAAAACAAAAAAAAAAGCAAAGCAGAAAGCTTGAATGGGATTTAAATGTGTCAAGTATCTTGGAATTCGAACTTTTTACTGTAGAACTAGAGGATTTTGTAAGCTAAAGGGTTGTTTGAAAATATATTTGAATAATAATAGAAAAAAAAGTACATGTTAATAAAATATTGTTATTGCAATTTAAAATTTGTTGTTGTTTTTTTTTTTTTTTTTTTTTTTATTAAAGAAACTAATAATGATTTGATCGCTTTGAGGCGAATAATTATCGATTTTTGAGTGAATTATGAATGCATCGATAGGCTGATCGGGATCGTTTTTAACGTTCCATCCAATGCAATTGGAAAAGGCATCAGATCAGATCATTGCCTATTGGGAACTATATTATGTATTACAATTTTAGGCCTCTTTCGAGTTTGTTTCTGTTATAGTAAATGAATTAAACTACATTTCATGTTAATCATGAAATTATCATGTTAAGCAGAAAATCATTTTTATCTGTCGCCACAAGGTAACAAATCGACAAAAAGATATAGATTTACACTTTAGTTGACTTTGACAGGTTAGGTCGACGGACGAACGCAAAGCATACGTTGTGAATAGTGTTGACAAACAAAACGTAACGATGAAAATCAGTTAAATGAAATCAATACGGTATAGAGATGCAAACGCTAATTATTGCAGTATTACGTTGACGTTAGCCGGTAAATTATATCTTTTTAGTTTACGATGGCGTATAAAACAGTGGCTAAGAGTCTTTAGAGCGATAGTAGGGCCAGATTTAAATTTAAGCCCATGACTTTAATAGGTGAACGAAAGGGGAAAAATTTCTTTGTGATTTAAGAATATCGCAAAAAATGGTATATAGCAACAAATAAATTGTTTTAATATCAAAGGCAATTACGTGTGAATGTGTGCGTATTGAAAATAGGGATGTACTTAAAAGTTACCTACTTTGCATGTTTTGCAGATTATTAGTTAGTAATGAATTGTGAATTTATATCGCAAATTTTCAAATTCTTTCCAAGGTCTTAAGGGGGCACAAAAGTTTCAGCCCATTATTAGAACCCCACTTGTGGTGCAAAAGTTATTACGTTTGTGCGGAGGTGTGCAGCATTCAACAGGACTCGCCTGTTATTATACTCAATCACGGCTTTCTGAATCAACTTGTCAGTATGCTTGTCCGTCCGTCTACCTAGACGATTTGTTTTCTCATAATTCAACCTACAAGTCGCAATTTTCAGGATATTTTAATGACATTTGGTGCAGTATCGACATGTTTTGGCTCAAGCATATGGTATGAAAAAATTTATACTCCCATTCCATCCAATGTTCGCTGTTGAGGGACGGTGGTATTTGTTTTAGATAGGTCACTTGATTATTTACTGATCATATTGCATTGTTCAGACTATCATCCTGCGAGAAACTTCTAATTCATCTCTGTACTTTCTTGCTCTTTGAAAACTCATTAAGCTGCGAGCTAATTAGCATAGTAACGATATCTGCGTAGAGAGACATCGTTAAATTGATATAAGATCTCATTCTATTGTACTTTGTGGCGTCCTTTGCAAATCTTTTTTGATAAATACTGCGAATGGATTTAGCGATATACTGTAAGACTTGTCGTAGTCAAGATAGATTTAACAGTGGAATTAATAACTAAGAATGTAAATTGAAAATGCATCTTTCTATTAAGATTTTATGGGTGATAGATAGCGGAGAACGGATTAATAACAAACAAAAAAAAAAAAAAAAAAAAAAAACGGAAATATTTTAACTTAATTATCGTTAAAAAAATGTGAAATTAAATGAGAAATGAGGGAATATTTTTTTTTTTAATTTGTAGCATATATGCCATGCATAAGTGCCCCCAATCCGTTAAAACACAATTCTGATTTAGGCATACATAAGCAATTAATCCCAATAACAATCAGATAACTGATGAAACGAAGCACGGTACAACTAGCCTTCATAGGTAGGTACGTATGCGTGTCATTTTCCCTACTCATGCACATAAAGGAATAACCATAAATAAAACTCATACTGCAATTCATGTTTTATTCAGGATGTCTACATACGAATATATCAGCAGGGAAGAGAGAAAGGTATCTGAAAGGAGACACATGTGTGTAAAGAAATGCAATTTCAATATTCATATTTTTGTGTTTGCAATACAAATTTTACAGAAGTAGCAGGAAAAAAAAGAAAAAAAAAAAAAAACAAAAAGAGAAAAAGAACGAACAGCTTGTAGCTATAATAAATTCATCATTTTATGTATAAGTGCTGACAATAAAAAGACGATGACTATACATTATGATGATAACGATATATATATATATATATATATATATATATATATGCATTTAGAGTATAGTCTTATAAATTCAAATGGTATGACAGGCATTTAAGTGAACAATTTTTGTAGGTAAGTTTATGGAAAACTTTTTCATACTTATATGTCCTGTAAAAATTTTTTATGAAAATTTTTTCATCAAGTTTTCGATATAAAAATGACCAAAAAAACATTAAAAATTTTATGGCAAAATTCTTTTAAAAAACATTTTGTTTCTTCTTAATTTATTTCGATACAAATTTTCAATCAGTTTTCATAAAAAGTGAATCTATTGTTTTGAGAAATTTGTTATGCAAAGTTTTTATCAAGTAAGAATCTTCGATTATCAATATTTAATATATATATATAAATTTTTTTTTATTTGAAGTCCATATTGCTTAAGCTTAAAAAACTTAATAGTATTTGTCCAAGTGTTGTAGTGTAGTAACACTTACAATTACGAGTAAACAAATCGCCCATCCCCCACATTTTCACTTCGAATCGAAATTATTATTAAATCCAATTTAGGTTATAAACATAGCTTAAATTGAACTAAAGTACTATCTGTTAAGTTTTGAAAACACATAATGTTCCTGTGACCTTTAGATTCATTACAGTAGCAATAGAATAATAATCGCAGATTTGAGGATTGTTCTCACTCGGGCTCCGAGATTTTAGGTAGGAGTAAAACAATAATAGAACAAAGAAATTTAAAAGAAAGGCATTTATTAATACGATTTCCACCATTTTTGCTTAGTTACGGTTCGAAACTCTCCGCGACTCGTAAGCGACGTGTTTCTGCCTCGTACTTCTTTTTCAGCTCTTCGCATACGTGCTTAATGAGATTGAGGTCTGCGCTTCGAGCAGACCGCGTCATAGACGGCAGAGCAACGTTCTCTAACTACTGGCGCATTACAGCAATGGTATGTGGTCTTGCGTTATCATGCGCGGAAATGAGATTTTCGCCGATAAATCCCGGAAAAGGCATAACGTGCTCTACCAGTACTTCTTTAAAGTAGCGTCGGGAAGTTACATAACACAAGTTCGGCCCCTGCTTCCAGTGGTATGTTTCCCCAAACGCACGACGTCCCTCCATGTAAGACTCCTTCAGAGAGACAGCGTTACGCGAAAAGCGCACCCAGTCTTCGGTAGGCTCTTCTCCGTCCGTCGTTATCACGAAGACGCAACCTGCATCCGCCAGAGAACAGAACTACCTTCCATTAAACCATAGCCCTATTTATATGTTTTCGAGGGAACTTAAGGTCGGTTAGACTGGGGTCAACTTCGGGCAAGTTGGTGGTCCGTGCGGCCAGGCTTCTTTTAACCGTTCATCGACTGACTTCCACTCCTCTAACCACTTTCAACCACCTCTTCGTCGCTGAGTATAGTTACCGGTCTCTTGATAACGCTAGTATACACGTCGAACAACATATCGGATTAAATTTAACTGTCATGTTACTTGGTTTTGAATCTGCCCAGGTTTAATTAGTGTAATCACTTGAGATGATGCTTGGGGTATGGTATCTATTTTCATCTTCTGAATAGTCTCCTGTTTCGAAACTCACCGTAGAAATTCATATTATCATCAATAGTTCCGTGTCTTAATGAATTCGTAAATGGACAAAATTGGGCACCATTCGAAGCCCTACGTTAAACGCAATTATATTCCATAAAATACGACTATGCGATGCAAGCAGTGGTCCATGGTTAATTGTCATATCTTTTTAAAATGGACAAGTTGACGCTTTCTCTTCTACTAACGACCGCTACTGTGTGATTTTAGGAAAGGCTGAAAGCACTGTACACGGCACTCTATGCGTTTGTCAATCTTAATAAGATGTCATAATATGCTGCAAAGCATGAAAACAATTCGAAATATTGATAATAAATTTTAATGAAGGGCGTCCTTAACGAAATGTGGTATATATGCTTGAGACGGTAGACATGCAAGATGGACCTTAACTTAATTATTTCTTCAATTTAAAGTGTCAAAGTCCTTGCGACAGTTTCTGCGTTGCATGTCATTGTACGACATGACTTCAAATTGCGCTGTAGGTGAAAAATGTGCGAAAAATTTGACAACAGGTATTCGAGACTTATGTCAATGATATGATACGACTTATATTAAGGTTTGGTTTTTTGTTTTTCTCCGCATTTCGCAAAAAAATCTTTTTCATAATTCCAATATTTAATGTGATATTTATTTAATTATCTTTCTCATGTACGTATTGAAAATTTCAAACCAATAACAAGAGATATAATCAGATATCAAATATTTTATTTATGTTATATGCTTGCACAATAAGTTTAAAGTAAAACATTTATGTACGTATATGAACACATTTTCATTTGTATAAATAAGCCGCAAATGTACCAGCGAGAGTAGTGGTGCATTAAAAATGTATGCATGATGCAGTAGGTGTTTAATCAATGTTCGGCTCTTTGCCAGAAATTATAACAGATGCATGCTGCGGTCGTGTTTGCGTTAGCGCGTGCTTTTGTAAACTTTCTAGTTTTACATAAATTTTAATATAATTATATAACGTATAAGTTTATGTGTATGTATAACTATATAATAGTGATGAGTCTTTGCATATTTGCAAGCACTCAGCCTGTTGTGCGCATATATAGAAGAGAATAGGCATTTATTTTTATCAATTTTCGTAGTGTAAACGAAGCTTTTCATAAAATAATTTAACAAACGAGCAATAGTTTTATCAAACTGAATTGTATATGTATATATATATATATATATATATATATATATATGTACGCCAAAGGATACACATCCAAACGCATACGCATTTATAATTATACATATATATATATATATATGTATATATATATATATATACATCTGTATGTGTATATATAGATATAAACATAATAGACGTATGTATATTGTAAGCAACAATTATAAAAATAATAATAATAGTTTAGTGTGTAAAACAGTGATTTACAATTTGAAATTTGATTTGAAAATTGTTGAACATAAGCAAACATACGCACACACAGATATATATATATATATATATATATATACATATGTGTGGGTATATGGCATAGTGAAACAAATGCTTGATTATGTGTATCGTTACGAGCTTATGCTTATATTCTCATATACGTGTTGCTGTCTGATGTTTATTTACTTTTACACGTTTCTATTATAAATGTTAGTTATTGCATTAGTTTCCGTTAACTATATACAAGCGAGTATGTACCTATATCATTCTCTCTCTCTCTCTCTCTCTCTCTCTCTCTATCTCTCTATCTCTCTATCTCTCTCTCTCTCTCTCTTTTTTTTTGCAGCTCCTGACAACATTACCCATGATTTATGAATCTTTCGGGGAATTCAATAATAAGTGAAATAAATATTTACGGAAACAGACGACAGTTTATGTACCCACTGCATATAGGCATTCCTAGCACTCATCAAGGTTAGACCGTAAGTGTAATGGCTAATTAAAAATTCAAAAGCCCTAACATAAAATAAATGCAAATAGTTTTTAAATTACTTTCTAGTTTTCACTCCTTTGTTAGTGCGATGTTTATAGGACTTGGAGTGATTTGCAAGAGCAACACGCTGAAGATCATATTAGTTTCATTATTATCTTTGCAACATGCCTGTAAATTATCTGAAATAAATAATTTTTATAATTATTCTCAATAGTCTTTCTTGTTCGTCACAATGGCAAACAGAAAGAGTCGAGCGCGATCATTACGAATTAAATCAACGACTACGATGATGAGTAATTGAATACAATAAAATCTTTTAGGTCGCGTTACAGATTTCCCAACCAAATCATAGCGATGATGAGTAGGCCATTATTTTAAAATTGACTGGTTTAAAGGGTTCATTTGCATGCGCTGGTTAATGGAAACAATCATTACCGTAATTTTTGAAGCGTTCTTCATGTGTTCGATAATAGCTGCCCAACGGATATTATCTCTCGAAAAGCAATGATTTTTGTACGATTTTCGACACTTCAGTACAGTGATGTCTGCTTAGGCATCCAAAAAAAAAAACCATTCGCCTTGAGCTTTTAACGGGACCAACTTTGAGTAGCCTACTCAGTATTTTTCATCTCTTGGGCGTTGATTTGAGAAATAACGTTAAAAATAAGTCTTTGGGCATTCTTTTTCGTTACGCCCATGCGTATATATATTATAAATATATATATATATATTTTGCTTGTCTTTGGGCCCAACTTACTCACTGGCGATTATGAAGAAGTAATAAGCTTGCTAGTCATAATGTCAACGTCATCGTCAACGACGGCGTCCAAATCGATTTTAAATGCCCTTATTCTTAGCAATGTTTTCTTGCTCAATACTATTCTTTCTTATATAAGTAGAATACTGCGTTACCGACTTTAAGTTCCAAAGATTCTTTCAAGATCTTCAATGATACATTAAAAGTCTTCTTTGTATCGCTGAATTTAACAATAACTTGTCAATAACAGTCATTGATAGTAACAAAGGCGAGATAATGGCGTCTGCGTTGCCATCGCGAGTATACTCGAAAATAAAATTTTTTGATTAGATTCATTAGAATATACATTTCCTGCATCTTTAGATAACATCCCAAGTCATATATAAAGTTTTAATTATTATTTTAAAAGTAGCCGATTAATAATAACTTTTAATGATAGTTATCAACGATTCGGTCTTTGGTGTCCTTATTTTGCTTTCAAAAAAAAAAGAAAAAAGAAGTTTTTTTTTGTAAAACGTTAACCGCAAACTTTTTTTCCATGTTCTGAATATACATTGCATTCTTATATTGGTAATTACGTCAAGGCTGCATAATAATACTATTAAATTGCGTTCCGGTGATATTGAAGTCCAACTAGTTAGTAATTCTTCGGTTTTTTCTTTTTTTTCTTTATGTAATTAGGCTTTCGCTTTTAAGCAATTTAGTAAGCGATGGCTTTAAGAGTGACTAAGCGAATGTGTTCGCATAACGAAAGCAATAAACAACTAAAGAAATGTTTTTGCTAAGAAAATTTTTAAATCTATCATAGAATGACATTGTAATAAATACAAATCCAAGTACTTGTGAAAAAGAAATCTCACAAGAACTAACTAAACAAATAAATATTAAAGAGAAAAAGAGCAAAACAAATCTCAAAGGTCATGTCAAAGAAGTCTATGCGGCATCGCGTGGCAATTTAAACTTTGTTATTAGAGCATAACCGATGAAAAAAAAAAAAAAAAAACATTTTAATTTAGTCTCCTTTATAAGTCTTTAAGCTAATTTAGTTTTTTGTTCGACAAATTAGTTTGGAATGAAATTAATTTCTCCATGAAAGGTAACGGAAATCAACTTTTATTAGCTTTTCTACGTAAGACAGAAATTTAATAAGATTTATAAACATTTTTAGCTTATTAAAGGAGAGTAAAGCAATAATAATTGACACATTTAAACTGTTTAGTTGATGGTTAGATTTAAGATTTCAATAGCACTAGCTTTGGCAAGAAGTGTTCACAAGCCGGAGCAACGTAAAAATCTGCATTTGTTCATTTACTCCTTATGTCTATTCGACTGCCTATCTTGATTTATTTGCTTATCCTCTCATGGGTCAATCTATTCGTGCACTCATTCGCTTTATGCGGCATGAGAGCGTTGCCCATTTACTCGTTCGCTTAATAGTGCGCTGTTGTCGCGCGCCCCTGTCTACTCATTCACCTAGTTATTCTACATATATCCGTGGATCTATCTATCTGTCCCCTATATTTCAATCGTTTTCTCTTTTTGTTTGTTTCCTGGTCTGTCGGTTCTTCTGTCTCTTGCCTTCTATCATCATCGATGATGTGTCCATGCAAAAATTAGCAATTATTTAATTTAATTAATTATAAAATTAGAAATTATTTTAAGGCGTCCCGATGCAAATCAAGACTACAAAATCACAAATAGAAAATTGTTAAAATTTGCAAAAAAAATTTCAAAAATTTTATAATATTGCTTCGGATAGTTTACCGGCATATATATGGACTTAATTAGTTTTTCTTTAACATTTCGCATAACGAATAAAAAGTTCAATTGAAATATTGCTTCCAGCGGTTAATCAACCCGCCCTTGAATAATAAAAGAGCTTTGGATAGCAAAGTCTAACTACAACTTTGTTACTTACTTAAGTAATAGTAATAAAAGCTAAAAAATAATAATGAAATCTTATGTGCATGAAATTTGGACGATCAGAAAAAATTCAAGTACAATATACGAAATGATTCTCGTATGAAAACGATGAAAGCCATTACAACTAAACTTCTATGCGAAAAGAAAAAAAATTTGTATCTAACAAATTTTATGCGAAATTACACTTAAAGAAAATTCAAATTCTTATCTCTATCGGAAGCAATGCATTAGACAGATAATTGAACGCCTAAATAAACTTTTTCTTCGGGATCTGAAAATACTGCTACGTCAAGCCCTATTCGATGGAATGAATTTGAATCAAATCCAGACGATTGTCTAAGAAAACAGATTTCTAAAAATGATAGAACCCAATGACACATTCATGACACTTTATCTGTCACGTGCAATTGGGGACTGGCGAAAAGATCAGCAACAATTCGACGAAAATTTCGCAGAAAAGAGGATCAACACAAACACGTCACAATGAAGAGAGAAGATAAGTCCTCGTAACTTGCTTTTAAAAAGCTATATAAGCGAAATATGTGCGAAAGACAAAGCTAGTCGCTAGTCAAGGGAGTTATATAAAGAGAATAAAAACGACATAGGTTATGTGCGTGATAATGGAATCCTGTGCTGAGCTGCACATATTTTGACTCTTTTGGCATCATTTTCCAAGTCATTGCAGTATGATTGCTAGGATATTTTGGCAATGCGACGTGAAATGTTTTAAATTGCTTAAGCAGCATTCTGACCGCATTCCACAGCAGAAAAAGAACCAGTAGTGCCATACTATCTCATCTTAATCAAAACTTTCATATTGTGAATATTAACAACGGTTTTGTTTACTATATGATAAATCAAATACTAATGGTTGATTAGTTCAACTCGATTCAATTTATTGTTCATTTTTGATATTTTAAAACCAAATACCTAAAGTTTAATCGTAGACTAGGGCCAATTGTACAACTGTCTTTACAACCGTTAGTACACAGAAAAGGCTTTGATAGTCCACGTTGCTGCCTAATTGTGCAGAAAATGTTGAGTTATGACATGTGCTTAAAAAAAATTAAAAGAAAATCAATAAAAAATTCTGTGGATCTAGTCGTTCTTTAATAAGATTCCGCTGAGTGTAGAGTATGAACAGGATATAGTTATGTGTATTGTATTTGTTTAAATGTAACTTTGTACACAATACATCGGTTCAATATGTCCCGGGACAAGTCAAAAATATATATCTTGATGCCTTTCTCGTAGGACAGTTTGCCAGATCTTTAATCTAAAATAGACTTGACTTTCCGCAATGATGTCATGGGTTAATTCAAACATTTTCCCCTGGGAGTATCCTTTTCAAATTTGCAAAGAGTTAGCAGTGATTGCAGGAAGAGCACCTCCTTCCTCCTTCGCCATTTCTGTTCATTTTCTCGTCTTCTTCTTCATTCAATCGAATCAATAGTGCCATAGTATATATGCTATTTATTATGCTTTCGTTTTAAGACAAGTGATGAATAGGATGTCATATGTGTCACCACGTAGGTCGCACCTCTAATGGTCATAGTCTTATTGCACGACTTATATCAGTTCTATTCGACTCAATGGTGCAGTGGTTCCATTTACGAGTGTAGTAGAACGATTCTCAATCAATGCAGTGACTTTCATTGCAGCACGAAATTCTGATAGGGACCGTTTCAGGGTTATCACTTGCTGAGAATAATATGAATTCTCTGTGTCAGTCCCTGCAATTATTGACCAATGTCCTAACTGCATATGATTATGAGAAAAGGGAACAAAAAAAAAAAAAAAAGAAAAGAATTTATAAATATATGTAGTGGTACAAATGCACAATTGTTTGTATATATTTAGGTATACACAGATATATATATATATATATATATATATATATATATGCAGCACTTTTATTCTCTATAATGTTTCGTTTATTGTTCATTTGACCGGGTCCTATGCAATTTCATAGCCGCACACATATATGGGAATAAATAAGTTTTAACAAAATGAGTTTTTGCGCACACAATTGCACCATTTTAAAGTGTTATTAGTTGGGATACAAGAAGGAAGTGTGGAACAGAGAATTACGAGAAATACAGTTTAGAAATACGCATATGTAAAGTGTGTGGGAAAATAGAAAAGATACACTACGTACATTTTATTGCGAACCTTAAATGCCCAGCATTGAAGGTCTTCGTGGATCTAAAAAAAAGTATGAAGGAAAGAATTGATTGCGAAGTAAAGTTGAACCACGACAAGATCATTTTTGTTTACGTTAATTGAATTTACTTATTAGATACACAATAGCAAGAGCCGTTACAATTGATTATATAATCTATTATAGGGTGACGGTTGTTCAAGTTCACTTATAGAGCAGAATTTCCACAGGTCTTACATGTAATTATATGCGTTTACACACCTATGCCATTCCCTTTTTGGTCCCTTTGTATATAGGTTATAAAATTTAAAGTTCTCTATATGCCTTGAGATCGTTTAAGTTAGTTCGTTGAAAACATATTTATATGTTATATGCGTTTGTATGTGCTTTTGGTATTATTCAAAATTAAAGTTCGAATTTTGTGCAAAATAAAAATATTCTATATAATATGAGTAATAATAAATTTATATATGTGCGTATGTTATAATAACATTTTTAGCAATAGATTTTCATACATACGTACGCACGTACAATATACATTAACTACAATTTTTATCTGACACCAGTAACAATTTTAATGTTAATTACATAAAGAATGTAAAGTTTGTCTATTTTACGGGGCACAAAATAGTTTATTAAGTATTTATAAATGCATTCTTACGATTTTTATGAAAAAGCGTACGGAATTGTTCAAATAAAACATTTTGTCATATGTAAAGTATCTGATGATCTCGGAGAATCCTGTTGTGACGCAATTATCCATACATGTCATAATTTGGTCTAATCCTAAAGCCTATATGATCGTCTCCCAAGCGTATGTGTTGTACTACGGCTTGCAAATTTTTTCCAGGCCGCTCTTGTGAAATGACAGTGAAGCGTTCTTCGTTTCATTTCATAATTTGCAAGCGTGTTTAGCCGATATATGGTGTGTGTAGCCAGGCGTCAGATTTTTGGCATACTATGTTCGTTCATTCGGTCCTTCATTACGGTTCGGGCAGTTCACTATAACTTACATCCTATCTTATATCAAACACCCAGCACAAAATAAACACCATGGATAACTGCGCTTTACCATCGCCATTATTGGTTCCATCGAACTGCTTCGTTAGCTTATGCCTTTGGGACTATCGTAGCGTAGATATGAAAAATTAATTGTTAACCTTTTCCCAACTTTAACTTGTGTGGCAGCTGATTTGTTTGTGAATGGTTCCAACCTCTTATGAAGGTCAAAGTATTAAAACAGTCAATTTAATCAAATGTAACAACAATGTTATTGTGTGACAACAATCGAGGCTAAGCAATACTTTTCTGCTTTTGAAGACGGAAAAAACTTATATGATATACACTTTGGCGAAGTTATGTGTGCTGTAATGTAAGGTTTACAAATTGTACTTTCCCGGAGGATCGCTATAGTCTTAACCACACGATATAGTCTTAGATTTCATATGCCCTGCTTACAAGGTGCCTTAATAATTTACAAGCAAACCGTGCTATTTACAATTCTCTCAACTCAAAAAAGTTGATGACTTAGGCAATTAAGTGGAACTTTTAAGAGACCTTTTTGATAACTTGATTGTTTGTTGTGCATATATTTAATATAATACAAACATCAATATAACTGTGAAAAGGAATGTAAGGAAAAATAAATATATTCATATATAAAGTTATTTAAACATCTATGCTAACAAAATTTTCTATCTTCTCAGTCCGCAAGAGTAGCCGAATAGCTAAGAACTGCGACTAACAAGTCCAATATTCACGAGTTCACATCTCAGTGCGGGAGAGTTTACCTTCAGTCCGTAAAGGCGAAACACTTTCCAATTTTGTACACAGGATCCACTAGTCTGCGACCACTTCTCTATATCAGTCACTTTCTAGAACTTCTATTTTTGCTTACGGTCACCATGATACACATATAGGTTACATCCCCCGAGTGATTGGGGATTTAAAAACAAAAAAAAAAAAAAAAAATCAAGCAGAACACTCTCTACCGGCATGCAATCTGAGTTGAATGTATACGACAGTCAGGCTCAATACTTGCAGTATATTGAAATTGCTATGGTCGCCAATATTGAGGCATTTACCTGAAACTTCAGCACACGAAAATATAGAAATATAGAGAGTAATTTACATTTTACAGTGAATATTGATCTAGAAAACGGTCCCGATCGGGCAGTTGACACTTTCTGTTTAACAGCACTTAACTTGTACTTTGAATGTATTAGTTTTCTTTTGTTAGGTAGGCAGCAATGTAGCTCACGAAGTAGAAAGTAATTGAAGAAATGCACGTTCATCACGAAAGATATTGGGATGAGATTTGATAGAGACGTCAGTTAGATTATTATCAAGCTAAGGAAAGAAAAACTGCTCGTCTAACTAAGCCGGCAAAATTTCAATAGTAAGGTATTACACATAGGATGCCGTTTCACATATCGTACGTTAAATACTTTATATCTTAGCGAAAATTATTATTCAGATATTCCTCGTATGAGCAAAAAATGGTTTTGGATAAAAATGAACTTCGCACGCAATGTAATTAATTTCTCTCGTATTTTCCAAAACTTTTGTCATTAAATTTTTGTCAGTGAAATTTATTTTGTAATTCTTAAAGTTTGCACAACAAAGGGTAGCACGAACAGTATTCTGGGATTAATGAATAAATTCAACTTTGGCTAAAGATTGCTCTCATTATCTTTTTTTAGTCATAACTTTTGCATAGGAAAGTGAAAGTCCATTATGTTCTTTGGCACGACCTTTACTAAAACGGAAAAATAGAGATAAAACGGAAATTTTTTCTTAATCGAACTTCATATGCTTATATGAAGCATAATATATATATATACATATACATAGATATAATATATATAATTCTTTATTCGTTTCGTTTCAGGTCGATTAAGAACTTCAAAGCGATATTCTATTTTCTTCTTCACACATACGCACGGCAGAGAGAAGTACATTAAAAAATTTGCATAGATTTTGAAGGTGCCGGGGAAGCAAACTGTTCGTTAAGCCGATTTCGTTATGTTGCGGAGCGCATTGATGATCAAAATCAACGTCATCGTTGTTATCAATATCAAAAGTTAATTTCAATATCTTACTACTGATGAAATATGGATGTAGCACAGATTTTATGCTTTTGTATTTTAATGCTCTTAGCCAGTATACATGGTAAGTGTTTGATACAAATTTCAATTTAATATGTAAAAACAAATTTATGCGAGAGCTTTTACATAAGCAATACATTTTAATATAACACTTATGCTAAAATTTTGCCAAGATACGCTTAACAACACATATGTGGAAAACAATTTTTCCCGTTAACTTTCTATTAAACAACGTAAAGGGTAGTGTAAGAGGCAATCTTTAATGAAGTAAACTAATAAAGTTTTTCGAAAATATGAGTCTTCGCATCCGGTTAAGTACAGTTATTTGTCGTTCATGCGTAAAATTGATTGATTAAGAGATTTCGGTTTTAACTTTATATTGCTTTTTAGAGTGCATTTGTACCCATCGCCGAAGGACGAGGAGTATATTCATTTTCTCAAAACACTTCCAAACTCTAGAAGGAAGCTTCAGCGAACTAACAAAGTTTATATATTCTTGATCAGTCACAAATTCTGAATGAAATTTAAGCATGTCCGAGTGTCCCCGTTATAGGTCTATTCTAAACATTCTTCTGGCCGCAAAAATTAAATTTGCAGTAGTTTGCACGTATAGGTTTGCATAGGTGATGCAGTAGCCCCGGTAGAAAAATTGATTATGCCTACGCAACACTACAATCATTCAAAATGTAGTATCTTTTTGCAATGCCTTTATGAACGCGCAGAAGAGAGCTTCCAAAAACCCGAATATAGATTTCTTACTTCTTTCTATTTATAAAATCAAACGATGAAGTCATTCATTTTACTTGGAAGCTGGCTCGTCAATCATTACGCTTCATACGCTTTCAATAAGGCATGTTTCAGAATTTCGGATGACAATAGAGAAAATAACGCGAACATCAGCAATATCGTGAAGACTTGAACTCTTTGCGTGAAGAATAATGGAAAAAGACTTTCATCCAAGACGGGTGCCCGGAGGAGTGTTATTGCATAAATTTTAGAATATTCCAATAGCTATGAAAATATTATTTAAATGCTATAAAGGCCTTCGACATTGTTGCTCAAGGAATAGGGACTTTGAGAAAAAAATTTGTCTTACACGGAAAAGTTAATGACATTACTGGCCCTTTAAAGGGTCATACTATCTGAGAAAAACGGCATACCAACAGTGACTAATCGTAAGAACTTGTGACTCTGTTTGCCTCGCAAACGATTTTTTCCGATTTTATATTTGGCATCTTTGAAATCCATGCTTTGTAAATTTGTACAATTCAACATATATATATAAAGAAATAAATGTATAAATATAGTAATAGTTATAATAAAACTCTCCAATAACAATTTTGTGATAAAACGGACTTATCAAACGGCCAAGTCAAAAAGGTAGAAGAAAGAAATGAATTTAATTTAACTAACCTGCAAACCTGTAATTCCCACGTTTCGAAACTCATGGTTATGATATGGAATCAAATAGTTATTATGATCAGGTTAAAAATCCTTTTTGACCCAATTTATGACTACAGACATCAAAATATCAAAAAATCATAAAAAATCAAAAAGAAGAAGATATTTGAGGTTTTCTTATTGTGACTCTTATAAGACTTGTGACATGTTTGTGATATTGCTCAGCTCTTTGGAATAAATAAATAAAAACTTTGTTGGACATTTTTGTGTTGAAATTTGGTTTATATATATATATGAGGAGTGTTAACAAGTTTCTGAGAGTTATTGAGAGTTATTGTTGTAGTACTGAACATTTCTCATTAACAAGATATCACAAAATATTTTATTTAAATATATTTCGAAAAAGAAATATGAATTCCGTGTATAAGGGGGAAGTAGTCTTACGGTTTTTGGTTACTCTCAGAAGAAACGAGGCATTAATCAATATACAATAAGTTATCGGTTCAAATCAATTTTAACTGGGGAAAAAAAAAGCTCTCAAAAATACTGTAGTTAAATTTCATCAGTTATTTCTTGTAGCGTTTCCTAATGGCCGATTCATTGCCGATTCATGACAGTAACTGAAAAATCTTTACACACCGCTCCTCGCTCTGTGAGAACATCGCTGATGCTAAGCTTTATCGTCTAATCTACCTCGTGACTATTTGCGCTTTAGATTTCGTTCATTACTCCTCCTCCTCCTCCTCCTCCTCCTCCTCCTCCTCCTCCTCATTCCGCGTTAAATTTGCTAGGAAAAGCAACGCTTTTCGATAATAGCGTATTCTTTTATCACAAAGCTCAACCTATTTAAATGCTCCCAAAAATCCACGTTGTTTACGACGCAGTAGGATAACTTCAACTGTTGCCCCAAGGCTTAAAAATTGTATTTCTCTTTAGTATTAGTTATATTCATTGTTCAACAAACAGCGAGAAAATATGTAACGTTCCAATCCTTATAGTTTATGTAGATGGTCTGTTAATTCGTTCACCGAAAGCGGAAGTGTACTATCGTTCGCAAAACCTGTCTTGTTATGCATTAACACATATCAGAAGTTGACCGATTGACCGATTAAGTTATTTCTAATATCAACTTAAAGATGCTGAAATGTGGTAGACTTCAGGTGTTGAATGGGACAATTGTTACAATCGCCTCGCACTAAAGGAGCCTCTTTCGTATGAGGTATTGGATTTACTTCTTCTACCTTAAAAAAGGCCAAGTTCTTGACAATGAAAGCAATTAATGATATAGATAAAGTGTACCTTTACCTATGCGTACATATGCGGTTTCTGTGGGAATGCGTTGTTTACGTTATAAACATTGTTCAGTGCTTACGAACATGTAACTGGAATGCTGCATTTACACCACACATATGCTAGTGTTAAGCGTTACAAACTTCATTGCAAGAATATTAAATTCTTTGAAAATTTATGTTGTACGATTAGCTGCTGGTTTATATACCAGCTGATCGCAAGTATTTTAACGGTCGATTATATAAACTGTCTTTTTATATTTCGTTTCCGTTAAGGTGGGGTCGATCGATAAATGCCTGTGAATTTGTTATCGACAACCCTCCTGAAAGGAATCATTATTATATCGATTTTCTTGCAGAGCATGTTTAGTGTACATTTTACTGCATGTACGCGATTTTGTCTTTAGACAAAACATAAGCGAGAGTGATTAAATGATGGCGCACAACTACAAACAAAAAGTATATCAGGGATTTCGTAAAATTTTAGAAATATCTAAGTTATTATTATATTCTTATTGATTGCTTTTTACAAAAAGCTTGTACGATCATTTCTTTACCCTACACCATATGTGGTATAAAGATATGTTAAGTTTGTTCGTATAATATCAGGAGCAATTTGATAGAGATGCACCTTTCACTATAACGATCAATTCAGAGTTACCTACGGAGTCCATTTAAGCTTGTCTGTCCGTCTTTCCGTTTGTCTGTAAGTCTATTTTGTTCTCTTGCGTTCAACGTAAAGGTCGCAATTTTTGAGATATTTTGTTGAAATTTTGTGCAACGACATGATTTCGTCCATGGACGAACGCTATTGAAAATCGTTCGAATCGGAAATGATTCCCCTAACAGTATTAAATGGTGGGCTGTGTTCCAGTATGGGGTTTTTATTTGCTTTTATCGTAAAAAAACTTTTTTTTGCAACTTTTTCCAACTTTTCATAGCGAAACACTGGAATACACTGGTGTAGTGGAAGATGGCGAGCATAGAAGTATGGTTACCGTGTTAGTTACACATAATTCCAGTTAATCGTGCATATGAGTATCGGTTGAATAACTAAAATGTTTCATTAATATTTTAGCCCATTAAAGTCGAATGCCTTGTAGTTCATCTAATAGATTTAAACAGATTGTATACAAAAATATTGCTATTGACATAAAATGTCGCAAAATTTTGTGAAAATAAATATCATGAATTTCATTGAAATGTTACATAAGAGACAGTTGACAAATTCACGTAAACCTCTAAAAGCATTCAGTTTGCGTTTTCTTGTCTTTCCCTAAATTAAATGAAAAACGAAAAATGCCAGGAAAGAGATGTGAAAGAGATGCTAGAAATTAAATCTACAATATATTCTACCCATAGTAGATGCACAAGATCTCTAAGTGTAAGTGTAAATATTTTACTATAAATATATTTATATATGTATATATATATATATGCTCGTTTTACCTTACAGGCATGACATGTGGCACAAGTCAGTCGGTCTAAATACATATGATGTGTACGTGTTACTGCCTCATGTTATTCATGTTGTATTTACTCGCAATTGTTTTTGCACGTTTTTATCAATGTTTTATTGAATAACAATAAATTAATATTGATTATAACCGAGGCAGGCAACAATTAAACAAATTGAAAGTTAAAAATTAAAGTTATTTTTATAGAGTTATTTTATACAAACTTTTCCGACATCAAAATTATTTACTTAAAAGCTTTTTACTATTCATTACCCTCGTTTAACTTGTTAAATGCATACGGACCTTGGCATTCCGTTTGTAAAAAATTCAAAATTAAAACATTCCTATGTGTAATCAACGCGAGTCAAGAGAGAGAGAGAGAGAGAGAGAGAGAGGGTGAGAGTGACCCAGCGAATACATTCATCCATCTGTTTACTTGTAAGTTTGTTGCAAGGGTGACAGTGACAAAATTTAAGTTAACTTATTTTTTATTTATTTAAAACTCTAAAGCAAACAAAAATTTCAACCGATGCCTTCCAATCATTAAATTAAAAGCTACGCTCACAATCGATGTTCATCTAGTTCATGGAATAGTACGGTGCAAAGTAGTAACCGTGATCGGCTTTATTAAGGCTCTGCAATTCAATAATTGCTTCTTGATTACCATTACTGCACACACATACACACACACAGACAAATGGAGTAATACATATATATATATATAAATTAAGTCATTCCATTTGTAATACCTAGGAATAAGCTGCAATGAGTCTCGCATATACATAGCATACATGTTTTGATCGCTTCGCGATTTTCAGTCGGTTTAGTCAAAGTTATCCGTTAATTTGTTCGCATAATTGTCGCTAACATTTCACGCGTTACTCCGATCGATTTTTTAAGCATTCAGCTGCTTGCTA